TCTAGGCGGAAATACGTCTGGACTCCCTCTACGTAGGCCTCAACACGCATAGTGCGGTTGTCTGCGAGGACACTAACTATGGGGTCTTCCAACTTTTGGACTTTTTACCTTAGCCTCAACCTTTTTTAGCGCCCTGCGGCTAATATAACTATGAGTAACCCCTGAATCTATAAGGGGCCCCACTCTGCTTCTAAAAACTCCTACATCAACTAACACTAGCTGCCCTTTACTATCTTTCTTCATTTTGGTCCAGGCAGGCATCCTCTCCTTCAATTCCTCTGCCACGCCTGTGAGGGAAGTGCCTAGAGAGACGCTAACACAAGCAGTCTCTGGACAGCTAACTAGGCACGGGCCTGCAACCTCTGCCGAAGGCTCATGTGGTGTGGGGGTTTCCTGTACGCGCTCGCTCGCTTCCCCACATGGCCTAATAGTAGGGACAGTTGCAACCCCTACCGGTGGCTGCCTTTTGACTCATGGGCAGGCCATTGGGCCTGTCTATACTTCGGACAATATTTAATAATATGGGCAGGGTCACCACAATAAATGCATTGCCCCTACACCATACGCCGCTGCCACACTTTCTGGTCCAGACCCAGATCTTCCCAAGGCCGGCCTTGTGGCCAACCTGGGTGCCAACCTCCTCTCCTTTGAGGTGACCCTCCACCTCGTCACTGCGGGGACCGACTGGGACCTTGACGATTTGGCAGGGGACCTTGACCCCTACCTCCCACTTGACGGTTCCCTTGACCGCCAACCCCCTGTGCGCCCGGTCCTCGACCTCCCGTGGCCTGGCCCCTTTGGCCCTGGCCTCCTCCTCTACTTTGCAGCCTCCCTCCAGCCGCGACAACAACATAGATCCTCCCCTGGCCCACACTGCTGTCCTCTTCCTCGAGCCCCTACTCAATCTGACTGTAGGGAACCTCGTTTGTACCACCTTCGTCTAAAGTAAGGATCAAATGATCCTTGGCCCTAACTTGGCCAGAGATGGTCCGTCCTTTCCACTTTTTGCCCTTATCTAAATCTTTATGCCAGAAAGTGGACATTGGCATGGACTTGGCCTCAAACAAGACCACTTCCCTGCTCAACGTGTCATACGTGATGTTGGGCTGTTCGGTCTTGTAAAAGAAGTGCCCTCGCAAGGGCTCTGGCATGGCACGATAGAACAATTGGACCAACTGGGTCTCAGTGACCCCGTGGTCGGGGACGGCTACCAAATCGTCCATGACAGCTTTGAGTGTTCGCGCACTCCTCCACCGTCACGAGTGGATGGTTTGCAATTTGTCAGAGTCCCTGACACCCCTCGTGACGTCAACGAACCTCTCACGCAGGAGTTTGAGGAAAGTGGAGAGAGGGGTAAGCCTAGAATACGAGATCATGTTATGCTCGCAATCGGTGGCACACGCGCGAGGGACCTTGCGAAGCTGCTGCTTTGTCCTTCAATGCATGGAAGGCGACGAGGACTTGCTCCTCGGGGGCGATATGCTGCAGATACACGTATGTATTGATATTGGCCTCCCAGTTATCAAAGCTATCGTCCTTCTTTCCGCTGTATGCGTCAGGGAATTTGAGCTTTATAGGCTCTTTGCGGGGACGCGCCGCGGCCTCTGCTGTGACCACCACTTTGGCGCTTTCAATAGCGCCTGCGCAGAACTTGTCTACGCCTTCCTTCAACCTCTTAACCTCGGTCCCGACGTGGGTCACCACGTCACACGCAAACTCTCTAAAGCCCGACCGGATCACATGCAGGGTCACATCTTGACCCTTATTGGCCTAATGCTCCTCAAGCCAGGCCTCCCTCAAAACCTCCAGGTGTCCCAGAATCTTATCTAACTTCGCAGGGGTTTCAGCCTGTGCCTGAACCTCCTGCCTGCATGCCCGAACTCTCTCCACCTCTCTAGCCACTCGGTTGGCTTCCTCCCTCTACCCTGGCGAATGCTTCTCTCTCCTCCTGCGGCACATACAACTGTGCCTCTTCGTCTTCCCCCAACGATAAGTTAGCCACCCATTCGCTAATCTTTTTCTCCATCCACTTGTCCTCCTCCTTTGTGCCACTTGTCTCTCCTCTGTCTCCCCCTCGTCTCCTTTCAAGGGGTTCTTCTTCCACTTCCTCCTCTTCTGCTGCTTCCTCTTCAGCAACCTTCCTCTTCTCTTCCTCCTCCTGCTGTAGCATCATCATCTTCTCCTTCTGTAATATTATCATCTCTTCTTCTAACTTCTTCTTCTTCGCTGCCTGCTCCTCCGCTATCGCCTTTAACTTCACCTGCTTGAGGAACTCGTTCTCATTTCTCTCCCTCAGAATGGCAGCGATCCGAGTATGCTCGGCTTCGGATTGTGGGGCAGTACTCTTGCCACTACGTGTATCAACCATGGTGTCAGGTGCACAACCAGATACGGTTCCACTCCTCACCACTTAGACTCCACCCCCTGACTGACACGACCTATTGACTCAGTCTAAAGACTTACAGAATCCGGACAGGATCCTGTCAACTAAGGTCTCTAGCCTAGACCTACTCTAAGGCTGTCACTACAAGACCTGGTGCTGATCAGGAGGCATTTAAGGAGATCCCCCGTAACTCCTCAGGAATTATTTAACGTCGCAGACAGGACGGCGTGATCAGCAACTCTTCTCAAGACTTAGACGGCCTGTTGTGCAGCCCACAACTCGGATTGTGGGCCTACCGTGCCACACCGAGCAGCCCGCCGGTCAGTACCGGTCCTTGGGAGGGTTCGTGTCCTTCGGGACAGTCGAGTCGTCAGACATAGTCTTTAGCCCTACTCAGCCTGTGTGGGTTTGGTTGACAAGGTCCTATCCTTCATCCACAAAGTTCCTATCACCTGGACAGAAGAGACTCAATGCAGAAAGAAGAGACAGACAGACTTGACTCAGCAAGTACCACAGGGTTTGTGCACATCCATAGGGCGAGGGGATAGGCTAAAGACTTGGCGGGATTATATCGGCTCCAGCTTGGTCAAAGTTGTGGTCAACAGTCTTGGTCAACGCCTTGGTCAACGCTTGGCCAACGCTGCAGTCAACCCCCGGCCAACTCCCGGCCAACTCCCGGTCAACTCCGATCAACGCTTGGTCAACTCCGGTCAACGCCCATTCAACTCCTTCGGTCAGCTCCGGCTATGGCAGTCGGCTTCTCCTTCGTCGCCACCCTTCTCCTTCCTTCTCCCTACCTCGCCTTCTTCTTCTTCACCCCGAGTATCTTCTCTCTCTTTCTTTTTTTCTTTTTTTCTTTTTGTTCGTCTCTCCCTTCACCTCCTCGGCTATGGCTTCCTTCACTCTCTTCGGTCTCCCCCTCTGTCCTCTCTTTCACCCCCCTTCTAGAGCTCCGCGGCTATGGCCGCCTCTTCACTTTTGTGGACTGCACGGCACACTTCACAGGTGCGTGACAACCAAACTTGTATCTCTCATCTCTCTCTCTCTCTCTCTCTCTCTCTCTCTCTCTCTCTAGCCTTAGCAAGTCTTCAACACAGGTACGTGGTAAGCCAATCTTGTATCGCTCAACCTCTCTCTCTCTCTCTCTCCGGTCAGCTCTGGCTCTGGCGGTCGGCTTCTCCTACGTCGCCACCCTTCTCCTTCCTTCTCCCTACCTCGCCTTCTTCTTCTTCACCCCGAGTATCTTCTCTCTCTTTCTCTTTTTTTTTTTTTTTTTTGTTCGTCTCTCCCTTCACCTCCTCGACTATGGCTTCCTTCACTCTCTTCCGTCTCCCCCTCTGTCCTCTCTTTCACCCCCCTTCGTTACTCTATGGTAGAGCTCCGCGGCTATGGCCGCCTCTTCACTTTTGTGGACTGCACAACACACTTCACAGGTGCGTGACAACCAAACTTGTATCGCTCATCTCTCTCTCTCTCTCTCTCTCTCTCTCTCTCTCTCTCTCTCTCTCGCCTTAGCAATGTCTTCAATGCAGGTACGTGGTAAGCCAATCTTGTATCGCTCAACCTCTCTCTCTCTCTCTCTCTCTCTCTCTCTCTCTCTCTCTCTCTCTCTCTCTCTCCCCTCTTCGTCGTGGTCTTCTTTGCAGGTGCGCGCGGTGGCTTCTTCAACCTCCGGGTCCGCTATGGCGGACTTCTTCTCCAACAACTACTTCGGCTATGGCGCGTAGCTCTCCCTGCGGCACAACACGGTGTGCGTCGAATAGCGGGTATCAGCTCCGATACCAATGCAATCAGACTCTCATTCACACTTCGCATTCATGCAAACAGGTGCGCAGCAAACTGGCGACAAGCGCCCACTCGAAACTCAGAGATATGGTAGCCAAGAACACA